TTTACATTATGACAAACTGCCACATTAAGCTTGGTGTGTTTATAATGCAAACAGGTGTGTATTAATAAAACACCTGATTCAGCACTACCTTTTAATTGCCTTTTAATTAATCTGTTATTTTAATTTTTTGATTATCCTTTTTACTTTTTTTTTTTAATTTCACTTGACTATGTTCATCTTCTATAGAAAGAATAATGTCAATAAAGTTATCTTATCTTATCTTATATTGGTCTCTGCTCTCAGGTCAGATCAGTATCACCTCGCATGACGACAATGACAGTGAGTCAGTGCTGTGAAAGAGATACTTACATGCAATTTGGAGGTAACTGTGTTCAACTGAAACCATAACTGGTTCAATCTGTTATTGAGCTGGGTCATCACGTGGTTGCCATGACTACCACTGAAGGTGATGGAGCCTGCTTGAGTGCTGGCATCAGAGGTGGTGCACAGTGGCTGCGCTATTTTTAGAACTCTCAAAGCTGTGTCAGTCAGCGTCTGTAAAAAATGAACAATCATTAACACATATGGTAAGAGACTTATTGAACTTTGACTATCATAGCTAGAGTACCAGTACTTTTAATAAAATCACTGTCACATATAATTTGAATCCTGAATTCTCATTCCACAACATATCACTGTGGATTATTGAAAAAGTTGATTAGTCCCACAAAAGCTAAATATTGAAATACTTTGATCCCCTATAATTATCTTCCTGTGTGCATTTGAAAATAAAATTTAATTTAAAAAAATATATAACAATGTGTAAATTTTATAAACCAACAATAGTGACTGAAGTTTTTATGATTAATTAGACCAAAATCACCATGCAGATGACATATCACTGAAAAACATGTTTTTCATTATTTTGGGCAATAAAAGAATGCTTGGACTTGTGTGAATAATTACTACTGGTACTCATTTACCTTAAGATCACTCTGTGTTATAAGTAGGAATGAACCTATGGACCAGGATGACAAGAACTGCAATGTCTTTGTATGAGACCAACGTAGTGCACTATTCAATGTTGTTAACAAGCGTGCTAACGCAGGGATTGTCACTGTCACTACAGCATTTCTTGGACATACAGGCAAACCATTTTTACCTTAATAAGAAAAAAATATTCGATATGTTTCAGTTAATAGTATGGCTACTTCAACAGGAAACTACTAGTACCGGGTATATAATAAAAAAAACTAATTTAAGCATTGTGTCTAATTACTAAGAATTTTGAATTTCAATCACATTAGTACTGTAGGGTATAAAATATATAGAAATTATGTTACTGGTAACTATGTTAACAGATCTCACTTGTATTGCATAGACACTGTATGTTCAAGTCAAAATGTGAAATTTGACCCTTTGAGTCAACTTTTGTCACTTTTATTACACAGAATAAAACTTCATAATTTTTAACATTTTTTACTGAATTGTGATGTGTAGTCAGTGGGTAATTATATCTATTTGATCCTAAATTAACAGAGATATTATAGAGAAATACAAAAAGTGTTTTTATTGAGTGAACATGTGACATAACTTGGGATGTATACAAGTACAAAACTGATATAACTTAGATAAGAACATACATAATGTAAACCATTTAAATTTTACTGCTAAATATTTTTGCAATTTCAGGATTTTATGACATTCGTGAAGACAACATTTCACAAAAATCTATGTTGTAGGGTCCCAGACAAATTTTCACTGCAGCTTCAAAATTTCATGATTTTCACAGACTTGTGAAATTCATACAAAACCTTGCAAAATTAAAATGATTTATAGTAATTTGTCATTGCAACTCACCTCTCAATGGAGACCTAAGCTGAGGTGACTGTTCAGCAGACACCAATAAACTGACCAATGGATGAAAAGCTTGTTGGAATAAGACAGCAGTCTTAGTTCTGTGTTCCCCAGCGCCCATACTCAGGGGTAGGCATTTGTCAATGACAGACAGTGATAACGCTCCACAAAATGCTGCAAATGAAACAGAAACACTTAATGGTTTTCAGCTGTCGGTTGAAAACAATGCAATATTGAAGAATAAATGCAATGTACCGGTAAATCAAATTAGAAGGAATCAAATTAAATGAGAATATTGTTTATCATTGCTAATGCCAGAAACACAATTAATTCAATCAAGTATAAGTCACTGCATGACAAATTTCTCAGACATACTTTGTACACCATTACTGGTATAATCTCAAATAGAAAAGTTTAATGACATGGTTCAGTTAATGTGAAATTTATAAATGTTTCAAATAATTGCAGATAATTATGTATGTTATCAAGAATAAGGAATAAGAAAAGAAAGAAAATATTAAAGATACAGAAAAATATGAAATTTAGCATGATATTAATTATTCAACCCAAAAGAAAAGATTTGTTGAAATAGCTGAATGAAGGCACAATGACACTGCATGGAATGACAACCTCTACACTGTTCCTCATTGATGTGACAGGCAGTTTAATCAACTGAAAGTATTATGTGTGACATACTGAAGACATCTATTTACTTCTATTAAAGTGTTTCATATTTTCACAAGCAAATGTTGTCAATACATGCACATGTCTTCGACTACAAAAAACATACCAGGAAAAAATATTTTCCCAAACAAAATGGCCACCAGTCAGCCATCTTGAACCAGAGGTTAAAAAAACACACTAAGAAGTTTTATTAATAAACAAATTCCTACCTGCATCCCAATCTGCGATGGCTGCTGCAGCATGGAGTTGACGACACAATGACTGCAATGATACAACAGCTCCAGTAGCAAACATATCTACATCAAATAAAAATACACACTTAACTATCAGCAAATCAAATAAATGAGTATTAACGAGTATAAATGAGTTTCAGTCCTCTGGTTGCTATGCTACAGAGTATATGCCAGTATCTGCAATATCTGCAATAGTCATTCGCTGCCAGTACCTTGCTTACATGATCTCAAAGTGTGTTGTTATGTGTCTAGATGCTTAACTGATTTTACTGGTTCAAAACATGGATAACTATGAACTATTAGAATTAAGCTATCGTAACAGCAAGACATAACTGCAGAAAACTTGTTATCAAAGCCAAAAAAACGTTCCGGCACACTGCACACTAAACACTGATAGCGGGTGTGATTTTCAATTGGTGCTATCTCAATGTTATTACAGCATAAGTGGTTTACATAAATCCTTGTCATTTTTTTTAAAACTGCACTGTTCAGCCATTTTTTGTGAATTGATGCACACATAATTGAATAACATTTCTGTAAAATTATTTGAAAATGTACTGTTAATAGTGCCACGTACATGTACAATGTATATGCAAACCAAATGAAACACGTATCATTTTCTAATTCTGAATTAATTGGGAAAAGAACAAGTGTTGCATGGTACTTCATGTTGTCATGCATATTTTACATGAATGTATTGCCTATTGGTTAAAGATTGTAACTACATATTAATCAAAAAAGTTGTATTTTGGTAATTATTTCAATTTATGGATGGTGAAAGTTGCTGGAATTAATGTTCTTGATTGGTAACAGTATATAAATATAAGTATGTTAATTATTATCCAAATCTGGTGTAATCTGTCTTTTTGAGGTAAGGCATCCACCTACGGTACTTTAAGTTTAATAAGGGTTCCTGACTTATGCTCCTTATCTTGCTTTTTGATGTTCTGATACATCAATGTATAAGGTCAAAAGGCCAACAAATCAAAATTAACATGTTCTGTATAAAACAGAAGTTTAAAACATAAACATCTGCATGCATGCGTGAACTTGCATATTGTTTGTTGAATTAAGTTTTGTAACTAATTTGATGAAAGGATAAGCCTCTGAGGTACTTTTCTGCTTGATAACTCAAGCTTTATCAATCAAAAAATAAATAAGAAATGGGTTTTTCCTTCAATGTTCATACAAAGCCCCATAATAGTCGATATAAGAATACACGGATGATAATAAATCTTACGGAGGATATGTGAAATATAAGAGTGGTTTAATTAAATACAACCATTCCATTTATGACAATAAGTCATATTTATTATATCTAGCATTATCTACATCTAGCACTGAAAACAATGAATTTAGCATTGAGGATGCAAGCGTTCAAATGTATATGAACTTGTTCAAACAGTCATAATTTCCATTTGAGGTACACCATGCTATGAAGCCTTATGAGGATTAAGAGTTTTCTAGATTTATTTTTCAAATCCTAAAATGTTTTGTTTATTTATGAATCTCATAATTTGATTTGCGACAGCATTTTTGACTGTTATCTCGCACACAATGATTGTTACCAGCAGAAAAAAAAGGTACAAGATTATCATAAGAATTATGATGAAGAATTTATTCCAGCAGTACAGGATAACATACTCACCTTTGACACATATTAATTCAACCATCTGTACCAACATCATAATAACTGTGTTATCACACAACTGTATGTGACCTAAATCATCAAAAGTGGAGTACCCAATTCCCCATGCTTGACTGTGCAATAACTCTTGTAACCGCCCCCCAAAGTTCTGCCACAAATGGTCCATGTACTTGCTAACCAGCTGATGCTTTGTATTGGAGTCTAAGCAATCTCCCCAATGTACAGACTTGGCTTTCTTTTCACGAGACTTCCTTCCACCTCGGAAATGAATTTTCACTGGTGAAGCACCGAGATCCTTGGTGTGAGATTTGCGTAGGAGATTCGTAGATGTAGCAACTGTCGTTAAGAACAAGCTCAGGAACTCTTCTTCCTGCATTGTGAAATCCACAACAGGTGACATCTCCTGAGACAAGTCAGGGGCCTTGATTTCGCCAACTTGTAATATGTCACTCGTCACACTTCCGATTGATCCATCGCTATGGTAATCAGATGTGTTACTTTGAAAATTGGAGCTCACTTTATCTCCTCTGGGATACGTCTGCCAATCAAAAGTTGACAATTTGGTGTTGGATAAGGAGAGGAATTCCTTATTGGTGGTGAAGAACTTAAATGTGAGTTTAGCAGCATGCTTTGATCGCTCTGATGCAAAAATACTCAGTATTTTATGAATTGGAATTGTCTTGATGTTTCCATTCATGTAATGTACACTGTTTATCCTAGTTACTGGAGTGGTGTGTAGTGAGGTCAGGTTACCACCTGTACAGTTCAGCCAATCATAATGTTGCACTATTGAATTGTAATCTTCGATCCCTCGGGAAACATTCCATAGTACATCCTGAGTAACTTTGCTAAGATCTGTGTGTGCAAATACTCGTAAACTGGTTCTGATGAACCTGCCTACCCACCATATTGCACTACCACTCAGCTGTTGTAATGTCAACCTTACAACTTCAAGTTCCTGACACAGACTCGGAAGCAGTGGTTGAAGCCATTTATCTGTGTGAATTCTTTGTTTAATGAGCCACCAGTGACTGGTGTGTGCACGGAGATCATCACAAACACTGTTTATAAACTCAAGCTTTGAGGTAACATTGTTTGAAGTGAAAGTATCTAGCTGACACCAAGTATGATACTCTTGATGTACCAGAACTTGGAGGTTTTGAATGAAGTCTGTGATTTCTAGAATTCTTGAGCTGTAATCACGGATCAATAAGAGCTTGCCACGGTTGACCATCAACCTTCTTATGTCTGCATAGTGTAGAGCTAATCCAGTACTGTCTTTGTAATGTACGAAATTTGAAGAATATCTTTTTGTTTTAACGCAGACATGATCTCCAGGCTGAAGAACAATAAAAGACTGTGTCAAACTATTGATGTTCGCTTCCACATCTTCCACTCGAATCACCGGAATGGAGGATCTATCTGATGTCGGCGAAAGGATAGGGTGTGCCTCAACGGCAATTGGCAAATCATCAGACTCTATGGCTGTTTGTTGGTGTAGAGCTTGCAATGAGGGTACATGTATTCTAGTTCCCACGATGGAATCTGCCATTGCTACACAGTGGATGAAGAAAGCATCTATAAACAAAGGAAAAAAAAAACATTTACATTAGATATCATGTTAGTCCATTACTAGAATTCTCCTCCAATACACTTTTTACAAGTATTAACACTGTTACTACTGGTACATATGCATGTATATTTATTATTTCTTACGTTATACAAAATCCCTTATGCTCTATACTAATCTCATAAGTTTTGTCTTCTAGCGACAACAGACTTCTGTGACGTAAACAAGCATCGTTATACATTATTGTTTTTTTTTAGTTTAACTTAATTCTAAAAAAACAATGACGACACAATCCAACCACAGCGTCATTTTGAATGACCTGCTTTCACCCATCTGCGTCATTATTACGTCGCTGAAGAACTTCCTTGCTCAGGGCCACAATTTAGAGAAAAAATGTATTACTGTGCAAGGCAAGGCATAAGTTAATCCAGCTTTATTTACACGGCCAAGATGAAAACATCCACAGCAGTACGGTACATGTGACGACGAGATTCAAACATTTCCAACTCAATGGGGAGCACAATGTAAACTGTATATCTTAATAGACATAAATCTGATACCATTGTCTCTTGGGATCCAATTATACTGCAACACAAGTCCAAATTTACTTGCACATTTTAAATGCATCCCTCCTTTAAACCTTGAGAATTATTTTTTTGGTCATATTTTTTGAATCCATATGGGCAAGCAAACTGAATGATTAATGTCTCATAGAACACACATACATTTTTGTATTTTTATACTGAGGCGCAGAAACAGAAACACCTTTGAGTACATTATGTATTCATCCAATCAATAACAAATTACAAAATGTATACTAGTATATACATGTACACTCTAGGGGCCATATAGTCACAGTAGCCATCATTAATATCTCACCTCTGCAAACTAGCTGATATTAGGGTATTAGAATTATTATCCATTTGTATGATTTCTCTGTCAAGCTTACTCATTCACTATTTGTTGTTGAAAACTACATGTGTGTATCATATGACTGTGACTGGAATTGCAATTCTCAGACGTTACATAATACACATAATATAAAAAATAACCATGTACATATATGGGCATAGCACGTCTTCACTTCTCTCTCTATGTAAACGAAGTCAACTTATATTTTGGCTATATGAAATGTGAATTTGTAAAATTGTAAATTTGTTAATGGATATGTATTGTACTTCCACTATTACATGTAGTAGCACATGAACATGTACAAATGACAGACAGGTGTGAATTTATATAATTTATATACGAAACACTTTTTAGACATATGCTTTTAATGGAGCAAATATGGTACGCCCAATTTTAGGTGTGTTGAGAAGTATAATATTGAACAGACAAAATATCAATTGCACTAATTTGAATTTCCATTAAAAGAGTATTTTCAACATATTTTGATGAACAGCCAAACAAGTTTTGATGTCTGATAATAATGAAATATTAATCCACAATATTCAATTTTACAAAATGATACTTATTACTAATATATCCAGAAATGACATGCTTGTAACATCATAAACCTATTAAATCAACAGGAATGCATTTCTGTGCTGAATAAAATACCTTTTTTTACAGTTTTAAAACATACTCGGCCAAGGCTTGTTTGATTTATTTATTGCACAATTGTACATGAATAATTGTTCACTAGTTGGCTATCTTTGATTGGAAGCAAATAACTTTGAAGTGTATGTAACAACATACTGTTTCAATAAAAATTATAAAAACAAGAAACAACAGATGAGTTTTGACAAATAAAATGGCTTCCAATTGTGACATGAATACACGTATGTGTACCATAAACACAGGGTTAGACAATTATAGTGAACATTACAAAACATTTATTAGTGAAGAACAGTTTATGCAAAATGAAGCAAATCATTCAGGAAAATAATGCAACCAATTAGGCATTCAGAATAGGAAAAGAACAACAGCAAACAAAATATGTATCAACTATGTACAGAGAAAAACCGTTCCTGTAAACTCTCAGAGAAAATTGTTATGATTACATGAAAGCATTTTATTGGAGCTGAACTACTGCTCCTTCCACTGATTAATAGGAGATTATCTCCAATGCGATTACTGTACCTGGTCAGGTCGAACAAGAGCAGATATTTGCTCAAGTTCAATCCAGTTCACTCAGAGCCGAACAAAACAGCACCCTCAATAACTTAGTATGAAAACAACATGGCTGAAAATGATTTTGGTGTCGTGCTTGTGTTTACATGGCACGATGCATGTACGTCAGAGCGACAGAGAAGGACAAAGCAGAATATACTCTTCTTGAGAAATAGGTACACTCAAAGACAAGCAACGATGCAGTGAATGATTATTGCCCAATGTCGCCGTAGAACGGCTCTTATTTTTGGGCCATGGGGGCTACGATTTGTTCATCTACAGTTGTCTGCACAGTGTGGCAACATAAACGTAGTTGTCATTGATGGGATGAGATAGTTATACATACATGGACCTGATGCGTTTACATAGTTGAAGCCATGTCAGAGCCAAATCCTACCAGAGTTCAACCTTGCGGGTTTATTGGAGCTGTACTTGGCTCGAGCCGAATGCGTATATACTGCCATTTTTGCTGCCTAGAGCCATAGGGCTCTGATAAAATATTGTTGTGTAAAAGCAGCAATAGAAATGGATACAAGATTCCAATTCAGGAATCCCTAGATTTCACCCAGTCTTGACTGCTAGGAGCAGCTAATCCTAAATTGGTTATGTGAACATAATTTTTGGTGGCACTTGTCATACACACTGTGTATGTACCGGTATTGTAAAATAACAAATGAACATCTTGAATTTATATATTAGAAATAAAACTGATAAATTGTGCAAGGTTTATCGATATAATCTCTTAATTTTTAGGACTCAAATTTTAGGACTAACAAAAATTGTATGAATAATGTATACAATTAAGTAAAGCTGTTTTAGTATTTTGAAATTGGTCTTTCCATAAATGAGACAGGATGTCAGTCTGTAGTGTAAAGACACGAAGGAACACATCAGTTTTGGAACAACACATTTCTATAATAAAAAAAGATTACAACAGTAATGACATGCATCAAATGGTTTACACAAAATGTGTGGTTGTTTTGGTAAAACTCTCTGCTGTGTCAAAGCTTGATGTGCTTGAGTAAGAGTTTAAAAACACAAACACAAGCATCGCAAATTCAATTTGAACACTTCATCTGCTGTAGGGCGAACAAAATGTATACAAATATTTACTCTTAAATTGGGACATGCCATTTTGTCTCACTGTATTTCAGTATGTACATGTATGCATACATACTACAAACTGCAAATATTACAGTACACACATTAAATCTATAATGCATAGTAAAAAATAGTAAAAATCCATTCTGTGATCAAATATTTAAGTACAACAGATGAGTTTTCATGATTCGTTTATTCTCATGTATATCTACATCTATTATATCTACAATGATGGAACAAATTTGTGACAAATATCACATACTGAGCTGAAGTAGAATCAATCCCAACTTTTAGTAGATGTAAAGATACATTCAATAAAATACTAGACATGTACAGTGTATCAGTAAATTACAAAGAGAAAAATCTCACAAATCAGGCACAAAAGAACAGAAGTAATCCAATATGCAATAGATGTATTCATTACAAGAAATATTAACAGAATGATTTGTTATCAAACAAAAACACAAAAATGTCTGGAGAAGAAATATAACTGAAATTGATTCTTCTAATTATAATTTATAAAATTATCTGAATGTATTGAACATAAAACAAAGAACTACATGTAGTAATCACAACTTACATGTACCAATAGAAAAAAGAAGCCATACTCAACCGAAAATACATACTAAAAATAGTATTTGTAGACAATGTACAAAGAATGAAATAAAAGATGAACTGCACTTTTTATGATATGCTCTCAATATAAATTAATAAGCCAACAAATTATACAAGATATTATATTTTAACAAGAAGCACAGGATAATCTCCTGATATTTGATTTCTTGGTGACTTCGAAAGATGATGGCATACTGTAAAATACTTTATTTTAGCAGGAATTAATTTTCACTGAAAAGACATTTTTGCTGTTTTGTATAAGGATTATTTTCACTGAGTATTGATAAGTTTAATGTAAAATATAGGAAAAACGGTATTTTTACTGGATTTTATTTTCACTGATTCATTTCTTCAGCGAAAATTAATTCCAAGTGAAAATAAAGTAGTTTATAATAAAAAAGATAGGTAACGTCATAAACTCGTATTTCAATCAACAAATGAAAATGGCATCTGATACTTAACACTTGCTTTATTCCATTACCTACTTTCCTGTTCTTTTTTTTAGTATTAGTTATTGCAACTAAGCATTTCTAGTATTCAATAGTAATTATTATTATACATCTGTCACATACCGTAACGCCATAAGTTACAACGTGCCGTAATTTTGTGGTATTTTACGGGGTATTTTCATCCTACCATATTAGATAATGCAAATTCCAAATATGGAATGATTACACTCGTAAGCGTCCTCTAATAAAAACAAACATGGCTGCCACCAGGATTTGACCGGACTCAATACAAAGAAGTTCACTGATTCTGTTCTAAACTTTTTAGACTTAGACATTCCCATGATGTATCCTTGGTAGGAAAAGGTGTATAAATAATAAGGTTACTGTGAAATACTTTATTTTAGCTGGAATTAATCTTCGCTGAAAAGGCATTTTGAGTGTTTTGTATGGAATTTATTTTCACTGATTTTTGATGAGTTGTATGTGAAATATAGGGAAAAAAGTATATTCTCACTGAATCATCCCTTCAGCAAAAATAGCGAAAATAAATTCCAAGCGAAAATAAAGTATTCTACAGTATTATGAAGATACTGCAAAGTATGAACTCAGACCGTACGCTGCGCATCGATCGATACTGCCGCTGTACTGTCTTCGTGCATACTTTGAGGTATTTTCATAATAACCTTATATTATTAATTTATT